TAACTCATGTTGCCAGAAAAGGTAATGAACGCCCGGTTTGTGTTCTGGACAGTTGATCGTGGGCAGTTCGCTGTTGGTTGCCATTGCCAAGACCTGGGAGCAACTGCGCTTTTACTCCTCCCGCTTGCGACGGCCTTGCATCTGTATAATATGTCTAACGTCAAGATACCGTAGCTACAATAAACAATTCCTACTAAAGCGCTGTGGAATACCTAACTACAAAAGAGTTATTGTGGTGAAATTCTGCTGTTGCGCATTAAATGTTTACGAGAAAGATTTCTTTGTCCGTAGGGTGTCGAGCCACACAGGCGGCGTCGTGAAACAGGAATTCCAACTCTTCCTCAACTGAACAGAAGTACTAGTATGATGACGGTTCCACGCTACTGAGCATCGATCTCCCGGCTGCATTGCCTGGACATCCCATCACTAGCCTTCTCATTGCCTTGTCCTAACGCAAACTGCATGCAGCGCCCCTTCGCTCACTCAGGATACCATGTAGATTGAGCCCATGAGCGAGAGCGCCATCTGTCGTGGAGTTTGGTCCCAACGTTTCAACTGTTTGGTTATGGTCGGCCTGTATGCTGACTAGGGGTTCTTTACATAATTTTGCTATTACATTGAGTGACATACAACTCAACGCAAAATACCAGATGCGGTCCAAAATATTCCATAGATTTCTTAGCATCTGCTAAATGGTGCACACATACCATCGGTATGGTGCGCTTGGTTTTACGCACACTCTCCTACACACACATAAACACGCGCATACACACACACACACACACACACACACACACACACACACACACACACACACACACACAACGCGCGCGCACACACACACACACACACACACACACACACACACACACACACACACACACACACACACACACACACACACACACACACACACACACACACAGCTATAGTCAGTGCAGTCTGTACGTATAATTTACACCGCCTGGTGGTCAGCTGTCGATAGACGCGGGCGCTCGCACGCCGGCTGCAGGCAGGGAGGCAGCCCAGGCAGGGAGGCAGGCAGGGAGGCAGCCCAGGCAGACAGGCATTCTTACACATGCAGCTTCTCACACTGATCATCCCCGCGGTATATGTGCGCGTTGAAAGTTAGATGGCGCGATCACTTGGACGTGCTATTTAAGGGGAAGTTACGGTGGCTGTTAACAACCACATAACGACACGACTGCAGCTTGACAGCATGGTGATAATAGGAATAGGAATAGGAATAGTCTAAGGAGTAGTCTAAGGAATAGTCTAAATAGGAATAGTCATGCCTCAAGTTCTTTAGCTGGTCACGTTGAGAGCGGTCTAATCTTGCGCCCCATACCCCATACACCATATGCGCCATATATGTTTGTTTCATGTTGTTACGGGGAAATATTAATAAATGTCGGCGATCATGCATGGTAAAATTATTTTTGAGATGTGCATACAAAAATAAGGTAAAGCAGCCATGCAAGCAAGAAAGTAGGTATACGAAAGCAAAGAACAGCTCAAATTAAACACTTTTACTTGTTATACTGTGTCGGTTAGAAAGAGAACTAGGCATATATGAAAAACGTATAAAACAAGGGCATTCTGCTCTTGGGGGAAATTAGCAGAATAAATCATAAATCGTATATTCTGCACGTTCATTCTACTACTAGTGTCCGTCCGAGAGATGGCGCTGATGCATGTTGTGTTTGGACGGCACCAGAGTAAACATTACGCATTACAATTTACAGATTTACAGTTCAAAGTACATTACAGATTTACAGTTCAAAGTACAAGTACAAAATTTAATGTACAATTACAAGTCAAAATGAGAAACCAATAATCTTTTAACTTTGCTGCTTTAAAGTGCTTTCCTCGTACTACTTGCGCTAGGTATACTGAATGAGCCGTGAGTTGATCTAGTACTAGTACTAGTAGTAGTAGTAGTAGTAGTAGTAGTAGACCGTACCGTGCCACAATGACTTGAAGCCACATGCACTTGAAGCGTTTCATCTGTACACACACGCCGCCGCCATTGCTGGCATGCTGCTGCGCTGCACACTGACACATAAATATATAGTTATATAACTATATATTTATGTGTCAGTGTGCAGCGCAGCAGCAATGGCGGCGGCGTGTGTTTACAGATGAAACGCTTCAAGTGCCTGTGCTTGAAGCGTTTCAATAAAATATATACGCAGGGGTCGTGTGCTGTGCACGGCGACAGTTATAACTTATAATATTTAACTGTCGCCGTGCACAGCACACGACCCCTGCGTATATATTTTAGGTAGTGGCTAAACGACCGGACCCGGTTTCGGAGGCCTGAAAACTAAACAACCGGCTCTCTTCTCTGATTGGATTAGGACAATTTTTAATGCAAAACATAAAGAAATATATTGAATTCCAAACATAAACAAAAGTTACAGAACAAATAAATGAATACGGAACAAATAAATGCAGAAACAAATAAAATACAAAGAAATAGAAAGCAGAGGAAAATAAAAACACCTTATGGGGTTCGAAAACGGTACTTTACTATCAAGAAGCGAAACTTACGTTGAGCCACTGCAACCAACTTGAAAATTAGAGCTATAGACCCTAACCCTAACCCTAACCCTAACCTAACCTAACCTAACCCTATCCCTAATTTAAAATAAATAAAATTAGCCAAAAATAATAATAAATGAAATAGTGACAAATTAGCCAATCAGTAGAAGAGAGCCGGGTTGTTTAGTTTTCAGGATACCAAAACGGATCCGGTTGTTTAGACACTTCGTATATTTTATTGAAACGCTTCAATAAGTGCCTGTGTAACGTACAGTAGGGCCTACACGTTATGAAAAACTTATTACTCCACCATGTAGGCTATTAGTATTAGTATTACTATATATATGTACTATTAGTATTATTAATTGCACGTCTAGTCTCCTTATGACTACAATAGGCTTGACTCTACTGACGCTCATAGGGTCTATGTCCCCAGGGTACTGCCAGAAACGTACCCTGCCAGGGTTCTCCTACGTTCGGCAAACGGGGCGTGCGCGCCCCGTTTGGGGAAAAACTCCCCCCTGTTTCAATCGTTGCGTCCCGTTTAAATTTTCTCCGCCCCGCGATTAAATCACACATTAAAAAAGTTTGACAGCGCGGGATCGATCGTCAAGAATTTCAATTCGACCAGGACCCGACGTCGTGTATTTTTACCGGGAGCACGCATGCACTGCAGACGATACAAAGTACAAAACAGTTAACCTGTCCCGAACCAACACTAACTGTAAACCGACTCGGCTATCTTATATATACAAGAACGCTCAAATACGGTCTATGGTGTGGTGGCGATTTTACGCATTATTAGTGGTAGGTAAAAAAACACGCCCCGACCCCATAGTTTCCCCTCTTCCCCCTTCCTCCTCCCCCTCCCCTCCCCTCCCCCTGTTTCAATTTCATCCTGGCATAACAACGCCTGCCCTGGTCACTATTGATATGGTTAGGGTTAGGATTAGGGTTAGAGTTAGGGTTAGGGAGTAGGCGTAGGCAACTCCCTAGACACTCGTTAGTGGAGTAGGCGAGGTAAGGTCCGGCATATTAGATAGTACCAGGATACGTTCCGGTATACCGGTCCGTACCCAGGGTACGTTCCGGCAGTACCCCGGGGGACATAGATCCTCTCAGCTCTACTGACACTGTTAATAGTTTAACTACACTAATTATGTTGACTGATGATTACAATTGAGTGGCATTTGAATATATTTATACGTGGAATGTGTTGTCGTATAAAGGTTGCAGGGATGGCAAAGGGCGAAGTTGCATCATCTGAAGCAGAAATGGATGGGGCCAATTCTAATGAGATAGCTCTTCATCAAACCAGATGCTCTGAATATTCATTTAGATCCAGTTCTAGGTAATCCTTTGTAAATTTAATTGAATTCAATGGTGAACATACTTTGGAAGTTAATTTTTATCAGTATTTATTAGCTCATCTGACTAGTCAGATGCAGCTCGTTGTAGAATCGCATAAGCGTGGCGTGCGTCTTGCGCGTCCGTACGTGCGTAAACAGTTGGGCACATATTAAACGGCGTCGACGTATGGTCACTGATATTGGACGTGGGGGTAATGTCGAAACGAGTTGGAATTTGGAAGCTGGGGGGGGGTCAAAGGTAAGAGGTATAAAACGAGGGGAACATTCCGTCCTTAACTTAAGGTATATGGGAGGAAATGCGGAATTGCGGCACAAATCTAAAGGCTCGACCTAGGTCGTGATAGTCGGCTGTATATGCATCATGGTAGGAAAAGCCATCATGGTGCTGAAATGGAGCGGCCAGCAGGTCAAGGTCAAGGGGCACAGGGCGAGATTTTAGAAGACATTTTTAGGGGTGAGGACAATGGTCTGACGGAGCGGTTTGAGAAATTTTTTGTTTCAGTGGACTAGCATTTTATGGCTTTATTGAAAGGCCATGGAAATGTCCTTCTGCTGACATGCGATAGAGTAATGTCGGATAACCTTTTGACGCCTCAAGAGGAGGGGTTAAACAAGGATTTGTTTTAGGGCCTACTGTTTTGAAAGAATTTGAGCTGCTGGGTTTGCTAGTAAGAATTCTATACATGCTGGATGTATGAGCTACAATGTACAGTGGAAATTTTCAAAAGCTAAAATTTGTTGAAGTATAGGTTTAATGCTCGCTTTAAATCGAAAATTTCCTATGGCATTCTGTACTGTCAGTGCGTTACATAGTAACTTAATTATGGCCACTGCCAGTGGCCAATTGCCAGTGGCATGTGGGTGTTGTAGTACGGGTGTAGTTTTTGGGCTTAGCGTAATAGTTTTACAGGTGCAAAGCTCTCTATTAGCAGCCTGTAGGCTTGCATAGGTAAATGGATGAGCTAGCTTACCTATTCTGTCTTAGCAAATAGTGTTTTTGTTTTTTTTCTTTGCTATACTACGTACATGGGAGCTTCCATCTTAATCTTAAGAACATTAAAAAGTACCACCATCTCGATGCAACTTTCATAACAATCCAAACGAACATTTCTTTGCGAAGGTTCCTGATACCATCCCAGTTTCGAAATAAGGGCTTATTCTTTGTCTCGTACTTGTCATTTCCAACGGAGGACAAGTAGATCTGTCCAGGTAGCTTGATCCGCGGACAGCAGCCTTTTTAGAGGCAATATTTTCATAATGTATGTCTATGCCATTGCTTGCCCGCTGCTGGAACCCGAGTTACCATAGTATAACACTGGGCTGCCGGAAGGTTATGGCACGAATTAACATAATTTTTCATAGTATAAACATTTATGTGAAGTTATATAAAAACGTTACGCGGTCTTGCTAGCCCACGAAATCGGTCCTTGCTAGGGTTTAGAAGACCGTCAGAAACCCCCCCCAAATTGCAGTCCGAGTAGACTCTCAGAGCATTCTGTATAGACAATCAGTCGGGCACAGGCCTCATCCGGCCAGCGCCACCAGCCTCGAGAAAGAGAGAATTGAGAGAGAGGGAGAGAGAGGGGAAGAGAGTCAGAGAGAGAGAGAGAGAGAGCGCGAGAGCGAGAGAGAGGAAGAGAGAGAGAGGAGATAGTGGTGAGAGAGATGGAGGAGAGAGAGAGAGAGAGAGAGAGAGAGAGGGAGAGAGAGGAAGAGAGAGAGTGATAGAGTCAGAGGCGAGAGAGGAGACAAGAGCGTGAAGAGAAGAGAGAGAAAGAGATAAGAGGCGTTGCGAAGGAAGTGAGCGAGAAAGGAGAGAGAAGATAAGAAAGAGAGAAAAGCACACAAGACCAAAGAGAGAGAGGGAGAGAGAGAGCGTGAAGGGAAGAGAGAGACAACGAGGGAGAGTGAGTGTGAGCGAGCGAGAGAGAGAGGGAGAGAGAGAGCGTGAAGGGAAGAGAGAGCAAGAGAGAGAGTGAGAGAAAGAGAGAGAGAGTGTGATCGAGCGAGAGCGAGAGGGAGAGAGAGAGAGCGAGAGAGAGAGTGTGATCGAGCGATAGAGGGAGAGGGAGAGAGAGAGCAAGAGCGAGAGAGCGAAAGAGAAAGAATGAGCGAGACAACGAGGGAGAGCGAACGCGGCGATGGGAGGGTGCTCTGGATTCGTTTGCCAGTGAGTTTAGCATCAGAACACCTGCCGTCAGGTGAGCGCTGTCGCTCTGTGGCACTTGTTTGAAAATAGTGCATTTAGGTAGTTTTCATTAGGCAGTTATAATTTGCCTCTTTCTGGTGTACACATGACATGGACTGTCACTATGTTTCATGTGATGTGAATGCATAAGTTGCTAATAAAGTGTTATGTACTGGAGTCCTCGTTTTCTTAAAATCGTGAGTGTAATAACAGGTGGGTGGTTGATTTCAATTCATTAACATAGATAGTTTGTTATTTGGCACATATTTATTTGTGTATTTATCATTGGCTATTATGTCTTAGGATCACGCCCTCGAATAGGCAGATGTCTGCTTCGGCCTTTTACTGTGATCCAGATGTTCCTGGTACAGGATCAGATGGTGTAGTGGCTTCTGAGAGGGATCAAAACCTTCCAACATATTCCATAATGCAATCGAGAAAATTACCTTATGCCTTGTGGTAAGTCTTATGAGATAGAAGTGATTATAATGGAATGCATAGAAAGTCAACATTTTTGTAGATTACTGGTAAAGCTTAAACTAACATATTATTAACAAATTTCCAATGATTGAATGTACAAATACAAACATAAACACACATGTGTGCATGTGTATATCCTACCATTGCATCTCTACATTTCTAGATGAATTGCTATTGCATGTTTTAGGTATGTGATTGCAAAGTCATTGGGCATTAAACTTTATCAAGCAGAAAAGCCATGGATAGGAACTATCATGTATATGGCAACTATTGCCTCTGCATTGGGATTTGCTATTTGTGGAACCTACTATACAGCGTTTGATATCATCAGTGAATACACAAAGTCAACAATTATGGATGGATCCTTCAACCTTTTGTTAGGTATATAATTTTATAACCAGAAAGTGTGTATATACTGGTCCATCAAATGTATCAGATGCATTTACTCTGACTTTCATTTCATAAATTTGCCTCATACAGCACTGTAAGACCTAATGTCATCAAAGAAATGGTTTAGTGTTATAGATGTAGTTATTAAGTATCTACAATGTGAGTTTTATTTTATGAGGCAGGTGCAATTTGGTGCTCACTCGGCATCTACGCGAACGGGCTGGCATACAAGCTGTTCCGTAATCGCAGCATGATGGACAAGCTACGCTTGCATGCCAAGACTGTGTTCAAGATCAACTCTGCACTTCTCACTGCGTTTCTTGCAGTAAGCTTCATGATGGTGAACAGCTGTCATGTGAAAGACCAATTTCAGGTACGAAATGTATGGCCGGTGGTTAAAATAGCTATAGCACGTGGAATAGACCAGCGAACATGAAACTAGACTATGCTCATAACCATTGCCCCTTCAAGAAATTATGTGATTGGGCATTTTCCGTGAGCACACAATATGAAGTAGGCATATTTGTTTGTTGACCTATATGTACGTCGATACTGGTCACACATCATTCCAGCCTAACACTGTAGATAACTTGCGCAATAATGATTTTCATACACCTATCGTCTTGGGAGGGGTTTCATGGCATGTTACACATGTTGCAATAAATGGGCGTTTTACTGCTTTGTGACAGGGAAAAAAATATAATTTATTTTTCGGGGGCTACTTTTCAAGCTCGCGTGCATGAAAATAGCACTCTAAAATTTGGTTTGCATTGAACTGTAAGCAAATTTACGGGGGCTCTTTTTGGCATTTCCGGGGCTCTTTTTGGCATTTCGGGGGGCTAAATCGCCCCGAGCCCCCGTGTATTTTTTTCACTGCTTTGTGATGTCTTACAGAACAGTTACTGTGAGCAAGTGCAGCTGAATGCTATCGTCTGCAAGGTCTACTATGTGTCGAGAGTCGTTTTCTCTACATGTGCATGCATCTGGAATGTTCTTGTGGCTATCGTCTGCATGTCTCTCTGTCGGACACACACAATAGGTGCTGTATTTTTTTCTACAATCTCTCATATGGGTGCAGAATCGCAATAGAAAGCGACATACCGTGAGTCCGTGACTGTACAGAATAGCGACCAAATTTGCTTGATTTTCAGGGATCCGACGGTTCATCAAACAACTCGAAATAGATGGCGCCAGGATAGAGAAGCGACAGTTAGTGTCATCAAATCGAAGTTTCCATACTGACATAGACTTGGTTGACAACCAACGTCTTGAGATGGATGAAATAGCTGCAGATGTTGATGGTGAGAGTATTAAAAACGTGGTATATTCATTGGCACTTAAAACCTGCAATCTGGCAACCAACCTGGTCCTGGTACCTGGCTTTAAGCGCCATCTACCGTTTAGTCACGGTATTATTCATCAATATTATGCGAGACGGAGATGAGAAAGAAGTCTAGCTAGCAGCACTGTCTCCTGTAACCTGGCTTGCTGTCAGTAGTAGCAATGAGATCGTTACAAGCGAAGCGTTAATGTGTACCACGGATTTATGTATGATACATTCTAGAACATATCTGATAGGCATATTGCTGTGAAAAGTTTGTGTTTATATATATATATATATATATATATATATATATATATATATATATATAACAGTAGTGAATAATCATCATCATAAAAACAAAAACGAAGTATTGCCTTATATTTGATAACTAGTATTTTGTATTGTTATCACTTTTAGAGCATAGAGAAGATCAATATTCAGCTGAAACACATGAGGGGGATTCTGTTTTTTACATAAACATACCAGATCTTACTGATGAAACACATCCAGCACAGGTATGGTACATATAACCAATGTTTTTACAGTCACTATGTTTTAGTTCGTACATTGTAATCTAAATTGTTCTAAAATAAGAACTATCATAAAGTGTTTAAGTCACTGCACTTGGAGTTGGAAGGTATAGTTGACTTGTTATAATATTATAATTAAATAAACATGATTTAGATTCCTTCTCAATGACAAAATCCATTTTGTTCTAGTTCAAAGTAAATTTATTTATATTAAATTGCAAAAATTCACATCATATAATAACTAAAATTAAACTTTTTATTGAACCATAAAGGCAATTATTATTTTTGTAGCTGTATGTGTTCATCTACAAGTTTACGTGTATTTTCACTGATTCTGTAGAGTGCATCACCCATAAACAGCCAAGCTCCTGGCATCAGGCAGAGAACGCGTGATCACCCTGAAAGGGAATGTAGTATCCAATCAAATGTCATCTACACGAACAATGACATCTTGCTTATTTTCTGGAAGATATCAGTAAGGATTCATAGATAGTATTATAACACATCTTATCCAACACAGATTCTCTTAATACTGTCTGACAGACATTTATTTGTATAACTTGTATACTGTCTAAATATTATGTCACTATATTTATTGAGAGAGAATACTGGTCTATTGAAGATATTTGTGTGTCACATGCAATCGATACAGTTTTATCTAGAATTATGCATTTTGACTTTATCAGAGTCATCTTAGGATGACCTCGCTGCTTCTGGAGCGATGGTTGTGTAGCTGGGTGGCTCTTGTAATGCTTTGGACTGCACTCTACCTGCTGTATTGGCTCGACAACACTGCTAGCACTTACGATGTGATCGAGTTCCTCATCCCGCTTATCCTCCTTCCCCTCGTCTGCTCGGCGTTTGCAGAGGTCAACAATGAAGGAATACGTGTGCTAAAGGTTCGTATGCAGACGACATCTGGGATGTACGACGACGACTGTACATGTGGCAGTGTTTTCAGTGTGTCGGTTACACAATTTGAATTCATATAGTTCTGTGATTGATTAGGTTTATTGGCTCACTAATGATGTATGGTGGCCAGTTACGTTGGTATTGTGATTAATCTTAATTAGAATTTTAAGCAATTACTGTAAAGTACGTTAAATTACTTCATAAAATGACTCTTTTGAACTGTTTATATGTTTCAGTGTGTATGTCCAACAGATGAGAGAATGCACATGCTGTTTTACTTGAGTCAGTTTCCGATCCAGATAACGGTGAGTATTTTTGTACATAGATCTACATTCTTTAGAAAAAGTATGTGAATGTATACATTAATGTCATATATGATACATATCAGTCCTACGGTATTAATTTTTCTAGATATAATTTCTCTCATGTGTTCTCCCACGTGTACCAACCATGGTTTGTTATATCTTTATGAATAAACTACTGAGTACAATTTTAACGGTTTATAATACTTAAATCTAATTGTATGGACATTTTGCTGAATATGTCTCTGATTTTATGCCGTATATTTATCTGTGAATCACGTTTTATCTTTTTCATATTTTAGGCGTTTAATAATCCTGTCACATACTCAGGAATTATCAAGGTGATCATGGCAATTGGATTTGCTTTCGCTTCCAAGGTCATCATTGATCTTCTCTCCGACGTGTGACCCTAAGAATCAGCCATTTTCTTTCTACCTGGGAGTGCTACACCCGTATTTGTTAATTTCCCCATTGTCACGAGTTGAAGCTATAGGGCTAGTGAGGCACGCACGCATACACTGTAGACGGAAATGTTTAGTAACGTCAGATAATGAAAAGTTTAATAAACCATATAACAGTTCAACGTTGGCACCCGCACAACCCTCAATTGCAATATTACGGAAAACTATATATACATTAAATGATACACATAATATAATTATAATGAGATATAAGGAATCATAAGGAGGATTTGTGTGTGTATTCATACGTGATAAGATTGTATGATAATCGTTACTTGTGCCGTAAACCTGTGGTATAAGATTGTGTTTTTAGATTATGCATAGCACTTATTTATTATGTGATTAAAACAAAGTACAGTAATAAATAACAGCAATACATAATAACATTATATGTATTGTATGTTATGTATTATATGTATTGTAAATATTATATAGGAATTCTTACAAGTACTAGTAAGATGTCCTATAGTTATCATTCCTGTTATTACTTTTATCAATTTTCCAAGTGATTTAATGTCCACTTAAAGTTCATAGGTTTATATTTACATTCCCAATTTGTTGGTTATGTAATTTTTTTTTCATATATGTATATATACAGGAAAACAATTAAATCTAATCAGTTCAAGCTATTCTTTTTATAATTATATATACATACGTTAATTTTATTTAACATTAACTCTGAGCTGTTATAATATATAATATAATTATAACTGCATGTTCATTTCTGAGTCGATGTCCGTATTGTCATATATTATTACTTCATGAATATATTGAAAAGGAAAATTAGATTAAATGATAAGACGATAGAATATAAAAGATCATTTGAGTAGTACTAAGTGAGATGTCTATATTTTGAGTAACATGAAGTTATAACACAAATCTAATTGTACTTAAGTAATTAAGCCCGTCGCACACGTGAGTTATTTTACTCAAGTAAAATGATGCATGAGTCAAATTACTCAACGAAAATCCGCCGCACACGTGAGTAAAATGACGCATGCATCAAATAACTCAACGAAAATCCGCCGCACACGTGAGTAAAATGACGCATGCGTCAAATTACTCAACGAAAATCCGCCGCACACGTCAGTAAAATGACTCGTGCGTCATTTTACTTGAGTAAAATAACTCACGTGTGCGCCGGGCTTTACTAAAACAGCGTTCACACCAATAATGCCAACGTACACAACAGACATCTCATGGGAAACGCACACACTCTTCATATTGAAATATTGCAAAGAATGTATATAAGCAACCAAGCTCGAAATACAGAATGCACGGTATTACGCATATATAAAGACGTGCTATTTGAAATGTTTGGCCACATGGTTCATACAGGAGGACATTTTATCGGAATTCATACACAGAACAAAACGTACCTGGATTCATTTAATCAAGAGCAGATAAAGAAGGAGAGCGTACAACGGTAAAATGCTGAAACCATGCTGCAGTATTAGTCGAATTAATAAACTTTTCCCGTTTTATTCTGACGATCCTTTGCAGTATTATTGATTAGCTGTCTTACCTTGTTCATATAAAACAAACCACATGTCCCTACGATGCCCCTACGCTGAGATAATGAGCGGTGAAAATCTGGTATTTTCGCCGAAAACCGACTGGAGATCAGTCAGTTACTGCATCTATCTCTCGAAGTGTTTCCAGTGTGTTGCTTCCGGTCGCCGCTGTGTAGCGCCATAGTGGCGCTGACTCACGTAATACTACCAAAGATCATATACAATATGTATATGATCTTTGAATTGTATATGAATTATATATGATCTTTATATGAATTATATGATATATATATGATCTTTGAATTGTTAATTCAATTGTATATGATCTTTGATACTACCAGAGTTTACTATACATCCAGCGTGAGGTGGGCGTGAAGTGGGCACAGGTGGGGGTCATCACTATGGCAATCAATAACAGACGTCATTCATTCCATTTGTCAATCATTGACGGAAACACGCGAGGTTTTCCGAAGTAATAACACTTCGAGAGATAGATGCAGTAACTGACTGATCTCCAGTCGGTTTTCGGCGAAAATACCAGATTTTCACCGCTCATTATCTCAGCGTAGGGGCATCGTAGGGACATGCGGTTTGTTTTATATGAACAAGGTAAGACAGCTAATCAATAATACTGCAAAGGATCGTCAGAATAAAACGGGAAAAGTTTATTAATTCGACTAATACTGCAGCATGGTTTCAGCATTTTACCGTTGTACGCTCTCCTTCTTTATCTGCTCTTGATTTAATAACCCCATTCTTAATCACTGTCACCTCTAAAACTTACCTGGATCACATTAATAAACCCTTCTAAACACTGTCACTTCTACAACATACCTTGATTTACTGACTTACTGTAATTTGCGATCATCATTTAACTGTATATCGTGTCTATAGCATTTTAAGCTCATTTAACACAATTTTTATGGAGGTTTGCACATTATTGATGGTACAACATTTCTTTTTATTACAGGCAAGGATTCTTTCTAAAAATTCAAGGACTTTTCAAGAACAAAATCAACATTTACTAAATTCAAGTACTTTTCAAGAACTCCCCTCAAATTCAAGGACTGTGCGAACCATGAGCCAGGAATAGTGCAGGACCATTTTAAAACCATTTTACGATGGGCAAATGACAAAATTAAATCTTACATAATTGAATACATCATGGAAACTAAATCGATTCAAATAAGCTGTTTGTAGAACTTGTACATGTAAGGAAACGTCAGTGACACATCATCTGCTATATATAACTAAAATACAACCTAAATCAAATCAGATGCGTGGACGAGAATATTTACAAGCAAACCACGTACTTTGAATTCACGACCTATACTATAGTCGACCGTCTTTTTGCAGTTTACAGCCACACTAATGTTGATAAACAGTGACATCTTGAACCATGGCAACCACGTATACATGTATGACAACAGCCAAGACAGCAAGGTGTGGCCAACTGGCGCCCCCTGTCCCCTGCTCAAATCGACACGGGCAGCAAGGCCACGAACAACTCCACCGGCGCCCCCTGGTCTTTACTCACGTCGGCGACCAACTCCACTGGCGCCCCCTGGCCCAAGCTTATGTCGTCACGGGCAGCTATTAACTCCACTGCCGCCCCCTGGCCCGTGCTCACGTCGTCACGGGCAGCGACCAACTCCACCGGCGCCCCCTGGCACCCGCTCACGTCGTCACGGGCAGCAACCAACTCCACCGGTGCCCCCTGGCCCGAGCTCATGTCATCACAGGCAGCGACAAACTCCACTGGCGCCCCCTGGCGCCCGCTCACGTCGTCACGGGCAGCGACCAACTCCACCGGCACCCCTGGCCGCGCTCACGTCGGCACGGGCAGCGACCAACTCCACCGGCGCCCCCTGGCCCCCGCGCTCACGTCGGCACGGGCAGCGAGGCAGCGACCGATTCCAGAATCTCTCCGACCTTCTTCTTCCAGTTGCCTATGTCCTTGGAGACGGCGCACCAGCTCTCTCCGTGGCGCGGCTCGGCAAGCACGCAGCGACGGCGCACGTCGTCGCGCTGCTCCTCGCTGCCGTGCATCGCCTCAAACTTGTAGAAGTACGCCCACGCGTCGCCGAGGTCCGGGTCGATGCGCACCGTGCGGCCGAACCAGTCGCGCGCCTTCCCCAGCTTGCGCTCGGTCCAGAAGAGTCGCGAGACGGCGAGCAGGACATGCGGGTCGTGCTCGCAGCGTTTCAGCGCATCGACGCTCTTCGTCTTGCGCTGCGGCCGGCCTTCCATGAAGATCGCCTCGGCCCAGAGCACGCCGCTGCTCGGACAGTCCTGCATCGCTTTCGCCATGAGGTTGTGAGCGATGTCTCGCAGGCCGCCCTGCGTCTCGACGCGCACCGCCTCGAGCCACAGCTCGGGGCACTGCACGTTCTTGAGGCGCGCCTTCTCGAGGATCGCGCGCGCCTTGATGACGTGGCTGGCGCGCACCTCGAGACGCGCCATCTGCTTCCAGAGCGGGATCGCGCGCGGGCACGTGCGAACGCCGACGCTGTACGCCTCGCGCGCGCTCGCGGTCTCGCCCGCCTGCTCCCGGATCTGTCCCAGCATCATCCACAGCTTCGCGCAGTCCGGGTACACCTTCACGGCCTCGGCGATCAACTCGAGCGATTTCGTGATGTCGCCAAGCTGCCACTCGAGTTTCACGGACTTCATCCAGACGCGCGCGGTCGGCGCGTTGCTACGGGCCTTCAGCAGCAGCCGGCGCGCGCGCTCGTACTCCTCGTTCTCACTCTCCAGCTTGACAGCGGCGAGCCAGATCTCCTCGCTGTTGGGATTCGCCTGGAAAGCGAGCGCGAGGATGCTGCGGGCGGCTGGGATGTCGTCCGCGAGCCACTTCGACTTGGCGCCCATCAGCCAGAGCACCTCGGCTTTCGGGCAGTGAGCGACGGCTTTCTGTAGGAGGACCTCGAGGGATTCGCGCGTGCCGTGGCTGCGCTCGAAGTGCGCCGCGCGCAACCAGATGCTCTTCTTGCTCGGGAAGACGGTGAGCGCGTGCGCGAAGACGGCGCGCGCGCACTCGTGGCCGCCGTGCGCCGAGAACGCGTCGGCGTCCTCCATCCACGTGTGCTTGCGGTCCTCGTCCTCGACGGTGACGCCGATGACGGCGCGGATGATCGCCTGGCACGTCGCGATCGACCCGGCGCGCTCGCACTCCTCCGCGTCGCTCATCCACTGCTCGCGGTTGATCTCGACCATGTTGGCGCGCAGCGACGCGAGCGCGCGCTCCACGATCTTCTCCACCATGTGGATGTTGCTGTTCGCCTCCTCAAGCTTCGCCGCCGTGATCCAGATGAGGCGGTCGGTCGGGATGTTCTCGCGAGCCTTGTTCAGCACCTTCCGCGCGTTCTCGTACGTCTCGAGGCGGGCGAGCGCCAGCCACAGCTCCACGCTCGTCGGGCAGCACTCGACCGCGCGGCTCAGCAGAATGCGCGCGTCCTCCGGCTCCTCCAGCTCGACCGCCGCCTTCCAGAGCCGCACGGAGTTCGGGACCTGCTCGAGAGCCTTGCGGAAGACGCGTCGCTTGCCCTTCAGCTCGGTCTCGATGTCGGCGGCGCGGATCCAGATGCGCACGGACGCCGGGATCTGTCGGACGGCCTGCGCGATGACCGCCTTGGCGGTGTCGCCCGGCTGCAGCCGCGCCGCTTCCAGCCACACGTCCTCCGTCTTCGGACACGCCTCCGTGCCCTTCATGATGATGTTGCGCGCAGACTGGATCTTGCCGGTGACCTCCTCGAGGCGGGCGGACGCGATCCACGCGGGGCCGTGGTTCGGGTTGGTGTCCCGCACCGACTTCAGCAGCAGCCGGGCTTTCTTGACGTCGTTGATGTCGCCGCCGTACTCCGGCAGCATCGACTGTAAGTCGGTGAGATATCCCTTCGGGTCGACGACCGTCTGACCGTGGACGGAGTCGGACACCTGGTTTAGTTTCATGTCCATCAGCGTGTTTCTCGCCTGGCCGATCTTCCTCAGGTCCAGCTCACCAACAGGTGTGGTCAACCCGCCCGGGGTCATCCCTCCTGGAAATGTAGAATCCAAGCCACTGCTGTATCCCGCCTGCAATCCAAATAGGAAAACGATTAATTATGATCTCGTTTCAGTTCAAGTTACGACAGTTTTAATTTATCGACGAGTCTGGAATCGAAATAGTAAAACAATTTTCGATCTCGTTTCGGTTCAAGTCACGACAGTTTTAATTTATCGACTTAACAGCAAAGGAATCGGCACTTTTTATAACCTACTAATAATTGGGGAATTGAAGTGATAATTGAAGTGGTTAAAAGTTAGTTAAGGATACTCTCCACGTTGTGCATGAAATTTCATCGATTTTTCGTTTTCAACTTTATTCGATGGCTAACACTATGTGCCACCTGTGTACATGCTAATTTCTCCATATAACGGTACATGTGAACTGTCAGAGCGTTTTTGCTTGCCCGCGTACATGTGTAGTAAGCAGCGGCTGACGTCACTCAGAATTTCTCAGAATTTCTCAAGGTGCATGGAACATTTTACCAATTTAGTGGTGTCAGTTAGTCATGGATATGTCGCAGTAAGTACTAACAATAGATATATCACACACGTTCACCCATTTTGCACACAGGAGGTCACTCATTGTGAAAAATAGAAAAACGCTGATTTCTCCGTTTCGATTTCTGACATAGTAGCCGATGTATAAATGGATATTTCTCTGTGATTACAACTCGGATTAATTTAATTTTACACTCGTTTTAATGGTAACATATTGTGGTAAAAAAGCGCGTCAGGGATTGTTATTAAGTGCCGTACTTTATTAGTTATGCCTCTTTATTCACTAAAATTTTCTATTTTAACACACAACTTGATTTTTAAGCAGTTTTTTCGAGTTTTCTCGGTAAATATGAAAATTAAAGAAAAATCCTGACGCGCTATTTTGGTCCATATTGTGCTTAACATGTGGCAAAAATTTTGTATCCACACTCTTTCTGGTAGTTGAGAAATATCCAAAATACCATTTTTACATAAAAATTCAAAATTTGTGTGGTAACATAATTAGGTGCTGGAAATTTCATGAAATTTTTTGGCTTGAGCATAGAGATATATCTCCTCTATAAATAAAACAAGTGATTGATTCGATTCATTCGCCAATAAACGTTTAATCTTCACTAGAGCAATACCCGTGCACAACGTGGAGAGCATCCTTAAATCCCTTCCTGTGCCTATGTGGCGCATAGGGGGGTGCCTATCTCCATTTCCTTAACCCGAGGCCACGCAGCTGCTTTCACAGTAAATACTATGTACAGCGGGTGGTTAGTCCACTGGTAGTACTACGAGTTTAACTTTAGCAGTGGTATTGAAGTGGTAGCACTCCTGATTTAAAACTTCTCGCCCCCCCAGGTTACTTTCTTACACACAAACTAAGTAACTAGAGTATGCCTTTTCACATAATAACATAAGTCCGCCTTTGTTGAACGTAGCCAGACTTACGTTCTGTCGAGGGTCCAACGATGTCACCGGCCCACCGCCGATAGCCTTAGCGAGGATGCTGTCAGGGACGGGCGTGAGTCTCTCCATGCGTGGGTTCCTCTGCCGCTTGTTGCGCGCATCTCCCACCTCAGGGATCACCTTCCACTCCTCCTCCGTTACGTCGGAGAGACTGCGCTTCAAGTCGGAGAACATCTGCTGGATCTTCGGACGCTCCGCTCGATATTTCTCCAGTTCTTCCAGGTATCTCTTCTCCCTGCGCAGCACAGTTGGCATCAGTATCCGCAGTAACTACACTACGCTCTAAGCATACGTAATCGGAGACACTACACGCAAGCACTGATGGCGCTCGCGTTTTACGAAATTAATTTGCATGTTTAGATTCATGGTAATAAACCTACTTAAATAGGCAGTCAAAGAAACTAGTACTGAATTTTCTGGGAGGTATACTACCAACATGGATATATATAACTAAATAAAGAAGCGTACAAGTTGTTTCCAACAAGGTTAGTAATAAATAAGAAGCTCTGTATAACCTTCGTTCCTTTCTTCGTTCATCCATGCGCTTGTCCACGGCTTCATAGATAGCATCCGCCTCCTCGTCATCTTTTTCATATGGATCTTTGTTACACAAGCTTCCTCCATAACCTAAGCAAGAACAGAGATTGGATACAAAGTTTTAAAAGAATACTTGACTCTAGGTTCTAGGGTTATTTTCAGTTGATTTAGGTTAAAATTACGCTACATTAAAAATTTCACGGTTCAATCACCATTAGAAATGTTTTTTTTTAATGTTTTAAAACAACTAACGACTACAGTTTGATTACAACGACGGTGGCGCCACTCAAAGCGCACTATCTGAAAAGTTGCGCAAACAGACTTTTCAGCCAAGGGCTACAGACCGAGGGTGTTTCTTATTTATTAATTTAAAAGCAGAAGGATTGCAATATCTTATAAACGACATATAGTTTCAGTTATAATATGGATAAATTTGTCCTAAAATGAATACCGTTCGGTTAAATAGCATTTAGGTATAAATATAATTCCACTTTTGTGATTAGCCCTTTATTACTAACATTAGCTAGCTGTTCGTGTTCATCCACGAAGAATGATACGTACCAGCAAATTCATCATAGTTAGCATCATTGAGGTCGACCTCCTCATCCTCGTCTTCTTTGTGTCGTTTAACAGGAGGTCCATGCCTCTCATCTGATATGTCACTAGAGTCTCGTGCCGGACCAATATCAGATCTGAAACCCAAAATTATTGATATAAGTTATCGGTGCATTAATTATATTAGGAAAAAGGCAAATTAGTGCCAATCCACTTTACTCTTTGACATTTTACCTCATAACCTCATAAATATTAGTCTTCAAACGTCCTAGAGACTATAACGAAGATGGAGAGAGAAGTGGATCAAATCGATAGATCAACACTGCGGATTGCACTGGAAAAGGTTGCAAATATGACGGAAGAGAATTTACCAAAGACGACAAAAAAGAATTCCAATACGGAATGACAGAAACAAAGAAGCTAAACTTAAAAGGATCTTTAGAAGATGGCACATGCCGTAAACAATGATCACGCTCAGGTGATCGAGTGCATCGGACAGGCTTCATTAAGCAAGAGGGAATGTCAATCTTTATCGGACCTAGACCGAATAATTCTGTCCCATATAACCTTTTTTATATTTTGGTGAGGGTTATATTGGGACAGAACGGGGTTCATTGAAATTTCGTGAGATCGCATGCAAAATGCATGCGCTGAGAATGCGGCCCGTACGCCGCTATTGGCGCGAAAAAAACCCTACCGTTCCCTTCTACATGACTTTACCTTGCTACAGATATGTATATACATTCACTTCAATCATTATTCAATTCTGAAAAGATTGTTTTTCAGAAACCTGCTTCATTCCACTTTCGTAAATAACATTCGCCATTTACACTCCTGCAGCGCTGCAGAGCCTGCAGCGCCACAAGCGAGAACCAGGCTATTGTAACACTCGCTCTGATTGGTCTGATTGTTTGTAAATGGCGAATGTTATTTACGAAAGTGGAATGAAGCGGGTTTCTGAAAAACAATCTTTTAAGAAGTGAATAATGATTGAAGTGAATGTATACACATATCTGTAGCAAGGTAAAGTCATGTAGAAGGGAACGGTAGGGTTTTTTTCGCGCCAATAGCGGCGTACGGGCCGCATTCTCAGCGCATGCATTTTGCATGCGATCTCACGAAATTTCAATGAACCCCGTTCTGTCCAAATATAACCCTCACCAAAATATAAAAAAGGTTATATGGGACAGAATTATTCGGTCTATATCGGACCATGATAAAGTTTATGGAACGTTATAAGTTTAGCATTGAGAAAGCGGACTCACATTAGGTAACTTTATACCACACTAAATATTTAACACATGACCATATAAACCCATACTTTATCATCTTATTCTAATCACTGCTCTTGCTATCTTTAATCTCCAAAGAATCCGTTCACAATAAGCTTTTGTTGTGCCTGCGCTTTTAAATGTTATATTGCAATTCTCTTCCTGCTCTCTTAATAATAATTGTAAAAATTGTAAAATTTAAGATAGCATGTAACATGTTGTTTTTCTACTGAAACAAAGTGTTTATCTATCAATTTGATCAATATAAATATTGACTCTCCCCTTCCTCGGCACAATCCCTAGAGATTGAGAAATTTTCTTTTTGAGGTTATGAAGTTGCATAAATTAGTGACCCAGTGCTGTACTGACATACTGTAGTGTAGTAGGCCTAGTGTAGACAGTACTGCAGTGTCGTACTCGCAGTTGCAGTACTGACAGTGTCACTGTGACTGTGTACAATACCTAGGCTACAGTACAGAGTCACTGACACTGTATAAAATCATATAATTTTAAATCACTATGAGATATAATCTATTTCACTAAATCTAACCCTACCAGATCCACCTGATATATACCTTGTAGTAAATCCAGTCGCTCCACGACCTAACCCTGGAACATAGCCCAACGGTGAAGGTACGCCGAGAAAATGTTTCCTTCTCTTGAGTGTACTGCCGGTAGCCATGATGCCGCGTAGTAAGACGGGAAATATACACAAATATCGTAAGTTAACGATGTCACAAAAAGTGTCCGCACCCATCTATAGAAATGACTGTTGCGACATCAGGTGGTGGTTAAAATTATTGTTATCGTTGTTGTTATTTGATTTTTTTTGTACTCCATAATTTTACATTTTCACTTTATTTTATTAACACATTCTTTTGTTTATCTGTAGGGAACATAGAAATAATATAGATAACTTAGGTTAATATAGGTTATTTATATTATTTCTACGGTAGGGAAGGTAGCTGAGGGTGGTAGAAGACAGAGGAGGATAAGAGAGAGACAACGGAGGCAGGGGGAAGGACGGGAGCGGGTGAAGTAGGCGTTTTCCAAGCTAGGGCGCTCTCCTATTCATACACACAGGTCTACTGATAATAATTTATTTCATAAATCTATGCTGAGATACTCCGTAACCATATTAAATGCATATTCATGACAAAATATAATTCATCTGGTGAGATATTGCCCATGCGCTAACACACTCCCGTAACCGATTCTGTACTGATGATTGGTATATGCAGCGGGAAGCTTACATGCAAGGTCTTCTTCCTATTTATTAAGAGAGGTCTATTGATGGAATGTTATCATATAAATCTATGCTGGAATACCTCCCCTCTATTTTAAATGCATATTTTTCGCAAAATATTATTATTCTCGGTAGATATTGTGCATGCGCGAGCACCATTTCAGGCGTATATTACGAACTGAAGAAAACTGCATAATAGAGATGGTTGAAAAAGAGAGAGATGGGAAACTGATGACAGGCGGCAGGGAAGATAGCTGAGTGCGGTAGAAGACGGATGAGGCTGAGAAAGGGACAACGGAGGCAGGGGGAAGGAAGGGAGCAGGTGAAGTAGGAGTTTTCCGCTCTACAGGCTAGGGCGCTCTTCTATTCATAAGCACAGGTCTACTGATAATAATTTATTACATAAATCTATGCTGAGATACCCCGTAACCATATTAAATGCATATTTATGACAAAATATAACTCCTCTGGTGAGATATTGCCCATGCGCTAACACACTCCCGTAGCCAGATTGCGTACTGATTGGTATATGCAGTAGGTACCATACATGCAGAATCTTCTTCCTATTTCTCAAGAGAGGTCTATTGATGGAATGTTATTATATAAATCTATGCTGGAATACTTCCCCTCTATTTTAAATGCATATTTTTCGCAAAATATTATTCTTCTCGGGAGATATTGCGCATGCGCGAGCACCATTTCAGGCGCATATTACGGACTGAAGAAAACTGCATAATGTAGCTGGTTGGAAAAAAGAACGATGGGAAACTAATGACAGGCGGCAGGGAAGATAGCTGAATGCGGTAGAAGACGGAGGAGGCTGAGAGAGGGGCAGGGGAGGCAGGGGGAAGGACGGGAGCAGGTGAAGTTGGAGTTTTCTGCTCTACAGGCTAGGGCGCTTTCCTATTCATAAACACAGGTCTACTGATAATAATTTATTACATAAATCTATGCTCAGATACCCCGTAACCATATTAAATGCATATTCATGACAAAATATAACTCCTCTGGTGAGATATTGCAAATGCTCAAACACACTCCCGTAGCCAGATTGTGTATACTATTTGGTATATGCAACGGGTACCATACAATCATGCAGGATCTTCTTGCTATTTCTTAAGAGAGGAAACCTGATGGAATGTTATCATGTAAATCTATGCTAGAATACCTCTCCTGTATTTTAAATGCATAATTTTTGCAAAATATTATTCTTCTCATAAGATATTGCGCATGCGCGACCAACATTTCAGGCGTTCAGAACGGACTGAAGCAAAGAGTCTAGCAAGGGGCAAGAAAGGCAGTGGGAAAACGGGAGGGGATGAAGTAAGAATTTTGCACCCTGCAGGCTAGGGCGCTCTTCTAATTATAAACACAGGTCTACATATAAAAATTTATTTCAGAAATCTATGCTGAGATACCCCCTAACCATATTAAATGCATATTCATAACAAAATATGACTCTTCTGGTGAGATATTGCGCATGCACTAACACACTCAGGGAGCCAGATTGTGTACTGACTTTTATATGCAGCGGGTACCTCTTACATGCAGGATCTTCTTCCTATTTCTTAAGCGAGGTAACCTGATGGAATATTATCATATAAATCTATGCTGGAATACCTCCCGTCTATTTTAAATGCATTTTTTGGAAAATATTATTATTTTCGGGAGATATTGCGCATGCGCGAGCACCGTTTCAGGCGCTGAGAACGGACTGAAGAAAACTGCATAATATAGCTTGCTAAGTGAGAGAGGGGTGGGAAACTGATGACAGGCGACAGGGAAAATAGCTGAGTACGGTAGAAGACGGAGGAGGCTGAGAGAGGGACAGGGGAGGCAGGGGGAAGGGTGAAGTAGGAGTTTTCTGCTCTACAGGCTAGGGCGCTCTCCAATTCATAAACACAGGCCTACTGATAATAATTTATTACATAAATCTATGCTGATACCCCGTAACCATATTAAATGCATATTTATGACAAAATATAACTCCTCTGGTGAGATATTGCAAATGCGCTAACACACTCCCGTAGCCAGATTGTGTACTATTTGGTATATGCAACGGGTACCATACATGCAGGATCTTCTTGCTATTTCTTAAGAAAGGAAACCTGATGGAATGTTATCCTATAAATCTATGCTAGAATACCTCTCCTCTATTTTAAATGCATAATTTTTGCAAAATATTATTCTTCTCATGAGATATTGCTCGTACGCGAGCACCGTTTCAAGCGCTCAGAACGGACTGAAGCAAACTGCATAATATAGCTTGCTGAGTGAGAGAGGGGTGGGAGACTGAGGACAGGCGGCAGGGAAAATAGCTGAGGGCGGTAGAAGATTAAAGAGTCTAGCGAAGGGCAAGAAATGCAGTGCAGAAGCCCGTAGCCAGATTCTGTACTGATTGGTATATGCAGCGGGTACCTTACATGCAAGATCTTCTTCCTATTTCTTAAGAGAGGTCTACTGATGGAATGTTATCATATACATCTATGCTAGAATACGTCCTCTCTATTTCATATGCATATTTTGCGTAAAATATTATCACGGGAGAGATTCATGCTGTCAGCAGTGAGGTTTATTCAGATTATATTATTTTATAAAAGCACTGACGCCTAAGTCTGCTACTGTAACTTTGGAATCGCAACTGTTCTGTGAGAACGCCTAATCGTGATACGAGTTGCAACTATTTTAACTGTTACGGACTGTTACAAGCCGCTAATGAGCATTCAGACCCTAAAACTGCTGCCGTTAAAAGAGTCTCTTCGTCTACGCACAATGCGCTTATATCGCTATATCCATTGTTTTACAAAACAATGATGACGCTATCGGTAGATGGCGCGGTAGCCATGATGTCATGGAGCGATGGTTGCCATGGAGGCGTACTGTGTTCACTACAGTCATTGTGCGCTTCTGCGAAGCACACATGAACTCGTAACGGATAACGTACTGGGGAAAAGACTCAGAACAAAATGGGAAATTTATTTGGGAAATGTTGCAGAAAAGATAACGGAGCGGAAGACAGTAAAAGGTAGGAAAACGCTCACGTAATATCTAATGAGGTAACCGTATTAAAAGTAACTTTGTAACTAAATTAATATGTTTATGCGCGTGCAAGCCGTAGCGAGCTCTGCGTGAGATATATAAATATCACAACGCAGTTCGTGTTTAATGTGCTAGTTATATTATTATTGTGACAATTGCGTTGCTGTAATGTAGAAATATTTCCTGAATGTATGCGACATTTGCACGTTATTACGATATATATCAGAGAAGGGAGACGGTAATTTTTTCATAGCTTTAACCTAGAAACCGGACTTTCTAAACCTAATAATCTAGCAGACAAAAACGCTATTAAAATACTAGCGTTTCATAATTATTTGTCAATCATATTTATTGAAGGGCAATTACTCAATAGGCATTTTTACATAACAAACATGAATGATTTTACATATGAAAAAACACATACGTTAACTATGTGGCTACAAAATATAACGAAAAATCTGTAAATAAACAACTAAATTCAATTGTAAGAGCACGACATGTGACGAGACAGATAAATGGGTGGATTCAAACAGGAATTGCGTTTAGTGGAAGGACTAAATTCATATTTATTTCTAGTTCTATTATCTCTTCTAATAATTTTTTTAATTTCTGAATCGGCAGCAATGTCTACCTTCCGGCCTTGCGTCAGTGGGAAAACCTAGTCGTTGGAAGCGCGCCCGCACGGCTCACGAATGCTCGCGCTACCAGCAACTGTTCTTTGATCCACGACCAAAGGTGCGATTTACACTGCGTTACGATTAGTAATGGTCGCGTTGCATCGTATAT